ATTGTCTGGTTGGGTATCTTTCATTTGTTTCTATGGTAATTGGAATATTCAAGTGTGATGTGTTTCTGCTGGGGTGAATTTTAGTAAAGTAGTTTGCAAGGAAATCATTTCCTCTAGATTTTGAAATTTGTTGTAAATCTGTGTCTATGTTCTTCCTCAATTCTGATCTTTTATTTTGGCTTCTTATTTTCCTTATTTAGGGTTGTGAGGGGATTTTTCTACCTAGTTAGTGTTTAGATTTAGTCATTTTTTTCTTTCAGTTTTATTCAGTTGAGCTTATACTACTTATGTTTATATAAATGTTTATTTCTATTATATATATACATGGTTGAGTTTGAGGGTACTGAGTTTATTCACAACCCAATCGTTGACTGGCCTTTTTGAATCTGGAAAGTATATTAGCTCTCTTGATAATAATATATGTGCATTTTTTTCCTTATACCCAGGTTTTGGGGGTGGGGGGTAGTTGCCTTTCAAGTATTTTCTGTATATATTTTGCCACTACATCATTTGTTACAATGTCTTACTCTTTTTAACACTACATCTTAAGAATTTTCCGTTATATTAAAATTAGATCTGCACAAGATATGTCTGTAATATGAATGGACCATAATTGGACAGTTTTCCTGTGAGTGGATGTTGAATTATCTCTAATTTTCACCATTACAAGTAATCCTGTAGAGAATATCCTTGTATATCTTTGCAACTATATAAATGGGATTTTGTGAAGTGAAATTTCAGGATCAAGAGATTGTTTGCCTTTTTAATTTTGATAAAAACTACTAAATTGCCCTTGAGAGAGATAATATTCATTCCCAACAGTAGTATGAGAGTGCCCTTTTCTTCACACCATTTTAACATTGTATACTAATAGTCTTTAACTATCATTCATATGATGAGCAAAAAGATTTCATTTTAAAGTGTGCTTCCTTGATTTACTAATGAAGTTGAACATCTAATTATGTTATTTGTATTGAGTTCTGTTAATGGCCATGTTTATTTTTCCTTTAGATTGTCCTATTGACTGTAGCAGATTTTTGTATATCTCTTGATATACAAGAATATCTGTAGGTATTTTGTATATCTATAGGATAATGATTTTTTAATCCCTTATTTTGCCAATATAAAATGTTAATTTTTGATTGATTCCCCAGAACTACCATTTGTGTTGACAGTATTTTATTAGTATAGTAACTGTGTCAATAATAAAATAATTTTGGGAATGTTGTCGTCTATGACAAAAGTGCAGAGTAATACTAAAGCTCCAATGCAAGGAACATCTTAATAACTCCTGCAAGGTCCCAAAGCAACTAACCTTAAGGTTAAAAGTAATATCTTGGCTTTGGTCCCTTCAAAATATGCATCCAAGTCTTTGTTAGGTTTTCCCTGATTGTGCAAGGGTAGTCTGCATCTTTGATAGGCAGCATTTGCTTATTGCTCTGGAGAGGTCTTGTGTTTAAAAAAAAGTAGTAATTTTGTAGGAAAATAAGTTGTATGAATAGACTGTGCTAATAATGACTATCAGTATTTAATAACTACTTGCATAAATCATATTTTATCCTATGAAGATAACTTTCCACTTGTAGTTAGTTGTTGATGTATCCATTAATGTTTTATACTATTCTTCATCTTATATTCAACATTCAGATACATTTGTTTTTAAAATTTTCTTTTAAAATATTAATTATTAGTTTTGGCCAGAAGCAAGATAAACTATAGTTTTAGTTGCACATGTAATACTTTTAAGGAAAAGAAGTAAAAAATTTATTAAATAAAGCATTTTTCTCACTTCAAAATTGACTTCTATAAGCGAATTTAGTATATTTTAGTTAAGACATTAGTACACAATTTATATTCCTGTAGAAGTGATTGTTTCTATCAGTGCAAAGAGTTGGAGCCTTGCTCCTTAATAGCACCTTAGTTTCGTCCAGGACAATGTTGCAATGAACTCACTAGCTAGCTTCGTTACCTTGGGCATGTTACTTTCTTATGCTCCATTTTCTCTTCTATAAAGTGGGGATAATAAATACTACCTCATAGGGTTATTAAAAGAATTAACTGAGAATTGATGCAAAGCAATTAGCACAGGGTTTAATATTCAGTAGTTGATCAGAAATTTATCTGTCCTTAATTATATTATAATTAGCCTGTCCCTGAATACAGCTAGCATGAAACAGTAATTCAGAGTGGGTAAAATGTGGTCTTTAGAGGCAGATATGACTGAATTGTTCTAGTTTTATCATGTGTTTCCTGAATCACTGTGAGCAAGTTAGTAATCCTCCTAAGTCTCGGTTTTATTATTTGAAAAATGGTCATACCTGCTTGGTAGTGTAGTTGTAAGGCTCAAATAAAGTAATAGATAGTGAATACTAAATTGCTTACTATTTGTTTTTTACTGGTTTGTAGACTTCTTTCTCCCCATTAGTTGGTCAAATGTACATTGTCTCTTTTTTGTATTCCATGATCTGTTGAACTTCCTCTTTCCTTGATGCCCTTTAGCAGATGTGACTTGAGAAGCTTAAATATAATTTTGGAACTTATAGTAGATTCCTCTTTAGATAGTGCAATCCTGAGATGCTACTGAGTTCACTTTTTTAAAAAGTAAGAAAGAAATATAAACTTCTTTATCTATCTTAATGCCATTTAATTTATGATATAAAGCATTACCCATTACATTTAAACCCTCTATGTATGTCTCTAATTGCATCACCTTTCGATTAGAAGATGTTACAATCAGTAGGTGAGGAACAGCAAGCTAAATATTTTCCAGCGTTATTTAATTTTGCCTCAGAGAGATTATAGTTGTCATATCCTGCAGAAGGTGCTAGAAGAAAGTTAAAGAACTTAATACCCTTTGGAATTATCTAACTATCCTGCTACATCATTCAGAAATCCATTGTGTGAATAGTCATATCAGGTGACTTAATGAATATCTATGGGAAGGGCCAATCATTTTGTTATCAAACAGCTCAAATGTTATCAAGTTCTTTCTTTGAATTCTAATGGCTATAATTCCTTCACATTAACTCTTCTAGTTCTCTTCTTAGAAGTTCTGGAAAATAATCATCTTACCTCATTTTTTGTTAAAATTACATTGATTTATGTCCTTCTTAAGTTATCTTTTCTTGTCCTCCATCCCCACATTTTGCAAATGTTCCTTAAATTAGCTAGTTTTCAATTAGCATATTTATTTTCCATTAAATAAGTCTGAAATTGGGATGCATCCTGTAATCCATAGTGTCTTATCATCGTCGTTCTCCAGGCAGCAGTTACGGCTTAGTTGCACATAATGGAACAGCACAAGTGCCAGCATCAGAAGAATGAATGTCAGTAGTTTGGAAGAAAATCCTAGAAATAATGGCACAGCTTTCTTAGATCAGCTAGGAATAAAATGATTATGGTGAGAGAGTAGGAAAAGCAATGAATCATGTGTTTAGCCATATTCTCAAAGCAGAAGTTAAAAGTAGGTCTGCTCTATTACTCAGTAAAGTTCATAAGGAAGAAAGAAAGGTAGGTGAGCTTTAAATAAGTACAGAAGAAAGTTAAGAATACCAGTAGTTTTTAGTTATTTTATGTTTTTTATTTAAAGAAATCCTGCATTACTGACATTTTTGATGCCACAGAGGATGATACTGTGTGGGATTAGTGGACATCAGCAACTCTGATACAAAAAGTGGTCTCAATATGAAGTTTAAAAAATAGCTTAACTATTTTAATTGCCTATTTTTCTTTATATGTATTTATAAAAGTGATATGTGATAAAACCAATGTCTAAGTATTGTAACTTTTTAAGTTGATGTTAAACTTTTACGTAAACTGAGTGGTAAAAAACATGTGACAGTTTGACAATGATTTTACTTTTTCTTTCTTAGAAGTATGTACAATAATGTTTTATCTTAGATTTGAAGAAATATGGTATAGGTCATGTCTATAACTCGCTTTCAAGCATACTTTAGTTTGTTACCATCTGAAAAATCTGGTGCCCAGAACGGGACTTAGTATGTTTGGTCTCATCTAGTAATTCATTCATTTGTGATTGCTTGTAAAACTTTTTTTCCAACCACTTTATTGAGGTATGATTGACATATTAAAAACTGTACATATTTAATGTGTACAACTGGTTGATTTTGAGAATAAGTATGAAACTGTCACCACCATCAAGACCAGAGACATTTATCACCTTTCACAGTTTCTTCCCAGCCCCTTTATTATTATTTTGTGTGTGTGTGTGCATGTATAGTAACCTTGTAAAACTCTTAACCAACCTTTATTGAGGCATCATGTCTATTGATGCTTGAAGTTTTACTACCACCTTTTAGTAGGTTTTTAGTAGTTTTTTGGACCCCAAGAGTAGATTTATATTCTATATCAAACTAGTTTCATGTAAAACTTTATCTCACCTATCTTGTGTTGAGGCATTTGGATTCATATTTTATTCCTATTAAATTTCACCTTGTTGATTGGATTCTGATTGTCATCCAAAAGCCATCCTTTCTAATTTTGACAGCTGCATCCTTGCCATGTTAATTTAAAACTTTGTCCAACTGGATATACATATTCTTTGGGTTAGAGATGTTGAGCTCAAGATCAATCCACCTATACTATATTAGCATCTATTTCATATATTTTCTTTTATCCACAAGGCATAGGTCTTGTGTTGCTGAAAGATTGTCTTATGTGCATATGTTACAGAGTTATTGTTTTTAGGAGAGCAGTCACATCCTTATAATTCTGAGACTTTGTAGAATAGAGCGAAATCCTAAAACCTGAATTGATCCATGCTAATTTTGAAGTACTTTTAGAATATTCTATTTTTGCTACCTTCCTACTTCTAATGATTACATTACTTAAGTCATTCTAAATGACTTAAACTGTCAAAAGTATGCCCATTTTAGACTTGTAATTTCTTTATATATTGCTTTGAAACTGATGATACTGATAGTCACTGTCAGTGGCACTGTTAGATAATTTAAATCTTTTGGTAATTTTTTTTTCCTTAGAAGTCAATGTGGACTGAACATAAATCACCTGATGGAAGGACTTACTACTATAATACTGAAACAAAACAGTCTACTTGGGAGAAACCGGATGATCTTAAAACACCTGCTGAGGTAAAAATTTGAGGGCTGTAAATTAAGGATTGTTAAGTAGACTAGGACATATTTTTTTTTAGGATCTTTTGGGTATTTGACTATCCAAAGAATAATACTGTTTATATCTCAGAAAAGAATGCTACAAAGGCACTCAGAGGAGAAAATGGTTAATACAGTCACATGAATCAGTAAAAAGACAAATAAGACTCATTCTTTTCTATGAACAGACCAGTTTTATTTTACTGATTTTGCCCCTGTTTAGGAACCCTTGTTGGGTGGCATCAATTTAAGAAGGATAATTTAAAGAATAAGTTTGAAGCAAAAAAGGAATCTCTCTCTACTTGCCCTTTTTTTTTAATTCACATTTCAAATTGTTTTCCTCTTTATAGCAAAGCTGGGTGATTTCAAATGTCTTCTGCTAAGTTCTTAAACATTTCCAATGGGGTTGGGGTGATGGAGATGAATTTAAATTACAAATAAAATACCAAGCATCTTTTCTGACCACAACGGTATGAAACTAGAAATCAACTATAGGAAGAAAATCAGAAAAGCCACCAATACGTGGAGATTAAACAAAATGCTACTGAACAACGACTGGGTTAATGAAGAAATCAGAAAATACCTGGAGACAAATGAAAATGAAAATACGACATGCCAGAATTTATGGGATACAGCAAAAG